AAAAAAATACTTGCAGCCCTCAGATTGATTACTCTTGGTCAATTGAGGTGCATCGGTATCCCTATGGTCTCATTTTTGACAAACGAAGAACGGAAGTTGGGCCATCGCAACAAATATGAGGACAACACAAAAAAACAAAGGCTAAGGGTGTGCAAGAACTTCATTTTAAAAAAGCCGTTTAACATCAAACAAGGCGCCTTCATCAGTGTCAAAAATGAGATCAAATGTGATCTCGTTCACTCCTGCATTCTTTGATCGGACAACTCGCGCCAAGTCTCCAAGTGTTTGACCAAAAACACGTGAGCCCACAGGTTTCAAAGAATTTGTCCAATCGCTGTAAGCCAGCTCAGTAGACATTATTCGGTTGTCGCCCCATGGAACCAGCTCTGCTTGCAAAGTGTCCACGCCATCAGCATGCCAAAGCTTGATGGAAAACATCGACCTCATGAGTTCTTCGTCCAGATCTACTAGGTGCTGCAAAGTGTACTCAGCTGCCATTGTGTCACAACGCCAGCATTCGTCACTAACTTGATGGACATCATCAGTTTCTGTAACATGGATGCGCGGCAAACCAGGCAAACCAGCTGAAATGAACCGGATGCTGAGACCGTCGCAAGATGAGAGGCTTGACACATATGCCCGAACATCCTGTTGAATGGCTGGCCACTGGGCAATGAAAAACGGATCGCGGGTGCCACAAACAGTTAGCATCCCACCATCGAACGGCAGGTCCTTAAACTGCGTTCACTCAGGCGTCATCCCTTGTATGTATCTTGCGCCATTAGGAGTTTGCATTACAAATGTCATTGCACATTGAGGCAACGAAAACATGCAAAAACAGATTCACAAACAAGTTTTCACACATGCCATGCATGCCATGCATGGCACAAAAAGACATACTGCCTCCATAGTCAAAACGGGTCCAAACAAGCTTGACATCAAGCCAGTCTCGGAAGGTGAGAATGGAAAGGCCAAATTGCCAGCTGTGGCCTTTCGCCCTTCGAAGCCCCAATGCAACCTCATATCAAGTCTCAAGACACCGCATTTTGTACAGCATACATACAGGTACAGCAAACATTTTGTAAATATAACATATTGCATATATATATATCTTATAGTATCTTATATATATATATACATGCAGCATCATGCAGCCATGCAGCATATATTTGTGTACACATAGGCACAAGCACGCGAGTGGCTCAAGCAGGCGAACCCAAAGCCGCGCCTGGCATGCTTGCATTGTGGACGTGCGTGGCAGGGCCAATCGGTGCCGGACTTAAAAAGGAAAAGGCAGGTGTCTTGGGCATTGGATTTTTGGGAGACAACAGGCGGGCGTTCAATGGCCTAGAGCATTGGCCCAGCCTCCGACATCGACAGCAGTGTGAGGCTTTCCGGCAGCAAGCCAGCCCAACCCCAGACCTTCTTACTTCCGTGCAGGAGCATCTTCAGAACTTCCCTCAGGAATTGAAGGTGGTGGTTGAGCAGATTGTGGCCCCGCCCAAACCAGAACCCACGGTTGCTTCCAAGCTGAAAGCCGCTGTGGGCACGTTCAAGCAGCTACCGGAGAAGAAGTCAACGCTGCAAGCTAAGGCGGATGCAGTGCAGGCTGAGTATTCGGCCTTGCTGCAAAATATGAACAATTTGCAAAGCAAGATTGAGCAAGCTTAGAAAGAATTGCAAGAGAATACGGCACTCTACAACAAACAGCTCGAGCAGGAGAAGCAGGAGGATGACGCCATTGATCCTGAGGACCTCACAGAGGCAAAAATGCTGAGCATCATGAATACCATGGGCTTGAATTCCGCAGAGGAGCAGGTCAAGCTTTTTGCCCAGCAGATTGAGGAGAGGGCAGCAGAAGGAAGGAAGTGTGGGCAACACTCGTGCGCGGGCTTAAGCTTTTCGGATCACATATTTGCAAGCCTTTTCTCCTCAGGCCTTGGGGGACAAGATGAAGTTCCCACATCTTCATATGGATTTGTGGATAGATGACTGCGGTGTTGGCGATGCTGTCAGGCAGGCGGTTCGTGTGTACAACCCAGGGAACTTTTGGAGGAGGAGTTCGTGTCGGTGAAGAAGACTGGGTTTATTCTTTCCAACTCTGCCAAAAGGCGCAGAATGGGCGCCAAATTCATGATGTCGCGCGAGATCTTGGAGTTCCCGGCTGGCAGATTGCGCGCATTGTGACCCCGAAGAATGGCTGGCCAGAAGGAAACACCTTAACGATCCCACGCAAGGCAGTTAAGCTGAAGCTTTACAAAGGCAGGGCCTGTCAAGCATTTTGTAATTAGGGGCAAATTGAAACAAAATCATCATCCGAAGATATATCTCGACATCTATGGGAAACTTGTTGCAGGAGAGTGCACCGAAAAACTGCAGCAAAGGCAAAGTACCCATGGCCCATGGCAAGTAGCAAAGGGCCCCGTAGCCGCATCACAGTGCTCGTCGTGAACATGGATGACAAAGTAAGGACTACGATCTTTGAACGAAGCCAGGACACAATGGAAGATATGATTGGAAGATTTCGATATCCCTGGCTCCACATTAAAGCCCAGCTTAAGGAGGGGAGCGAACGATGAGGATCAGCCAGCGATCTATGTTGGAAGAGATCCAGTCCACTGGATTGGCAAGCTTGGCGAAGGATGCGCTTGGCAAGACATCCAATCAAAAGGATACCCCGGCCCTGATGACTTGCCTTTCTACCAAGATACCAAAATGGGGGACGGCCGGGGACGGCCAAGATCACAAACATCTGGAAACATGTCCACTTTGTCAGCAGCCGGCCACTTCAGTTCGCCTTTTGTGGGTTCACCTCCTGTAGCTCTGCAAGAAGACACATGAGTAGTTCCAGCCATTGACTCTGTGGCACGTGGTTCAACCTCGAATGAGGTTGACACAGGTGGTGCAACAGTTCAAGCACCTGGGGATCATGGACCACTCAAGATGAGATCAAGCTGAGAGGACAGGAATGCGTCGCAATTGGCCTTGCGCCCGCGAGTTCTGATGCATCACGCGTTGAAGGATGGTGATCTCTGCCGCTTGGGGTGCATCACCATCATCCTCGCTGGGGCTCAAACATTCGCCAGGGCGTGAATTTGATTGAATTTGACTACGTATGTCAAGGGGCTCAACAGCCTGATCACCTTGGAGCACAGGGCCAATGTCAGGCTGTTGAACTTGTCCCAAATGCAGTTGAAGGAGATTCCCGTTCAAATTGTTGTTCAGAAGCAGGATGAATGACGCTTTGAAAGTGGCCAAGGAGAGAGTTCTATCCATGGCAACTCAGTGCCCAAGATGCTGAGTATCGAAAGATTGCTCTTCAGGCGATCGCCAGTATCCGTCATCTTCTTGAATACCGGGATCACTTCATGAACAAAGAGAGAGAATCTGGCAAGGAGACAAGAGATCAGGCCAGGACAAACAAAAAGGAGGCCTTTTAGAGCCTGTTGCAGGACAAAGCGCTTGTGTTGTCAACAGTGCAAAGTGAGGGTCGCAATGTACAACAAGTTCGAGGAGACTTCAAGAATGCACCGTGTGAACTTGAGCAACGACTTTCTTTGGTCGGAGGGCAAAGCACGCCGGAAGAGACTGACCACACCTTTGATCTGCAAAGACACTACTTGGTGTGCACACATAATGCGGAGCTCGGGCTCGGGTACTTCGCAATGCAGCCAGAGACAAGATCCTGCAGATGGCCCAGCGGCAATGCTGGAGTGGCCCACGAAAGCTCCTCACCAATTGCATTAGCAAGGTAAGAAGCTGCCAGATGGAGGCCATCGCTATTAGGTTGGAGGCCATTACTACTAGGAACAAGAAGCTACTAGTAGCCATTTTAATGTGGAGGAAGTGAAGCGCAACCGATCATGCCACAGCTTTTCAGGCCAATCGAGCCGATGGAAACTGACTTTCGAGCATGACAAGGTGCGAAGAGCAAACATACACAAGTACAGTAGACAGTCATGTACAAATATAAACTATAGAAGTCATTGAGGCCATGTATGAATGAGGCCACAGTTTTCAGCAGGAGTTGCTTCACAGTCTGGCAGCAAGGATGCTCGCAAAAGCGCCAAATGGGACCTATTGCGCTCCATGGTCCCCCCGGACACGATGATAATGATGCCCAATTCTTGCTCCCCTTCTTCTAAGGGTCGTTCCTGCACGTCAAACGACTTCAAACCAACGTTTAGATCTCAACGATAGTGTTGGTTTGTTCTTTCGCACCACGCGTTGTACTTTGGGATTGCATTTCAAAATCAAAGACTGAATCAACGCAACGTCCTCAACCCCATTGATGCCATATACAAAGCCTCCTCTAGTCTCCATGTATTCGTGCACAAGTTCAATTCTCACCTGAATCGCATTTGCTTAAAACGACAGCTCAAGCTTCAATAAGATTTGAATCATGGCACTGTGGAATTGACTTCAAACCAGCTTCCTGCTGGATGCTTTTAGTATCTTTCTCGCACAACTCTCATGCCATGAGACTGATCGAGTCCCTTGTAGCTTGGCCGCTTCAAGCTTTACAGCTGGAGGAACACGCATCAGCTGTGTGCCAGAGATTTCCACAATGTCAGGGCTGATAGCGGTGAATTTGGACTGCCTGCAACATCCAACATGCTGTGTATATATGTAGCTTGAATGCTGAAAAACAATTTATATACAACATGCATCAACATGCTAGCAGCTGAAACTGGCTGCTGCCTTGTGTTCAAAACACCACCTGGCATTCCAAAGCAATGTGGATGACTCTTTTCGTAGAGCCTTGGTCGCAAACAAGGTATTGGGACAGTGGCACTCGCAATCGCAAAACCCAATACGCATGTGTTTTGTGTTGATTTGTGGCTAGAAATGTCTCCAAGGAACGTGTGCGCTGCAACGCTCATGGGTGTGGCACGCCGACGTGGGTTGGGTGCCCAAAAGCGAGCTGCTCCGTTGCGGTCTAATTCAGCAGCCAAACAGTCCTTGCTGCGACTTGAACGCAGGACAAAATCTATCAAACTTGCAAACAGTTCTTGGCGAGTAACCCACATGTGGGGTGTGTGTATATTACCAGAAATATGTTCAAGAACTGCAAACTTCAGCCCCGTGCTTTTGCACAATGTATATCAGAATGCAACCAGTGATATGCGCCACATTCTTTTCATCACACGGCAGTGCAAACAAAATGCCAGCGTTCCAAACAGGTGAAAACCGCCAACACCTACAGTGTGCATACTCTTCCGCACACATACGTAGAAGCAAAAAGGCAAAACATGATTTTTGGAATATATGTTCAAAGGAAATTTAGTGTGCAAAATTTCCGTGTTGCGGACATTCAACAGCTGTTCAATACACCACTCATCATACACCACTCATCATACGCCACTCATCAATACACCACTCATCATACACCCACTCATCATACACCACTCATCATACACCACGCATCATACACCACTCATCATACACCACTCATCATACACCACTCATCATACACCACTCATCATACACCA